TTTCATGAACTAATAAAAGATTCGTGTCTAATTTAAAATTAGTTTCTTAATAGCACATAATTTCACTGTTATAATAGCAATTCAAAATTTTGATAAATGTGTACCTATACGGTTTAATTTTTCATAAGATTGCAAATACACTACTAATAATCTGGACAATAATCGTTCATAATATATATATAATATGCTTTCCTTCGTAACAAAGTGATTTCATTCAAGTTTCACAATTGATATTCTAATAACAATGACTCTTGGAAAGAAATACAATTATTTTGTTATTGCCTGCGAATTGACGTTGACGATATTGAATGCGACCAGCAGAAGCTTTTAAAGCTTGCTACCAAGCATATTGATTGTTCGATGCCGTTAAATTCCCCCAGCTACGATTTAATTCTTAGTAATTTAAACTTTAAACCTTCAAATATCATACCACAGAATAAAAATGCTTGACATTATACTCTTTGGTAAAGTAATGACAGGTTCTGATATTTTGTCGGACGATGATTTTGCTTTTCTCTTTCAATATACCCTTAAGTTGTCTAGGAAACAAAGCTTATTTCGTGTGAAACAGCATTGTACTAATTGATGATACTATTGATATATGCAGATATTCCATAACATTGTCAAAGTGCATGTTAATCGTTTTTTTAATTTTTAATTATACAATATTTTCGTGTTGCTATGCGATATGTAGGTTTTATGTTTTGTAACACTGAATATATATTTGTGTAAATAAATATATATTTATTTTTTAAATTAATATTTTCTTCTCTTCATCGATTTTAATATAATATTAATTTGTACCTTATTTGTTCTAAGCAATTGTGAAACTGCATATTAGAACGTGCATTTTTAATCCTCGCCTGTGATTGCAGCAGTGACACCTGTAACTATGGGCCCTAGACTCGAACTGTTAGATACATGGCATTATTCGCGTGCGCGATTATTTACTATAATGCCTCGTTGAAAATACCTTTACGTGTAATATAAATTATACCTCGTTAAAGTCTTCAACTCCAACATCTTCCCCTTTATTATATTCCTTTATATTTCTTTTTCTTTAAAAAGACTTATTCCGTAAATAAATAAATGAAAGAAATAAAAATTATTGTATCTTAAGTTAAAATACTCTGGTTTTCAATATGCACCTAATAAACAGCGATGAGATAGATTATCCATAGTAAAATAAACCTAACGTCTAATAATAAAGATAGTACTATTATTAAGAAATGTAACAGAATCACATCATTATGACATAAAATACGGTAATTAATTCGTGAAATTCTATCTGTTTCTTTGAGTTCGGTTTTCAGAAATATGACATTATTTACAGGTCAGTATTTCCTTTATCTGTTTAAACATTTATTCGTTGAATTTTCTGTTCAGGATGTGCATGTTTAACGGATTCAGTTTATCTTCTTATGAACTGAATAACGCATTAAATTCATAAAATATTTATGAAAATTTATTTTAATGTATATTAAAGTATAAATACCTATTAATTTTAAATATGTGTTGCACTTTATGTAAAAGTGGGATAAAAAGAACGAAACAGCGAAAAACTTATAAAAATTCATGAGATGAAATATAATCCATGATTCTTGGCAATATTGCAGATTACTTTGTTAATTACGATTCATTCCTGAATACATAATATTTATGTATTTACACCACTAAACTCGATAAATATTTTTTTATTCATCTGCACATCGATTTATTGAAATGAATATTTTAATACTTTATTGATTTGCAATAAGTGAATGATTTAATATTGCTTAACAACATGTTAATAAAATAATAAATAATTACGTATCATTACAATACATAAATATTTTTACTATTTAATAATTTATATTTTTCAAGTCAAACCTGAAACTTTATAAATGTTAAACCTCAGAATTTTTGTTATAAATTCTTTACATCAACATGCATATAGATTTTGTCAACCATAAATATTAAACATTTCTATGTATACATATGTATATTGTAACATTATCCACTCACCGTCTCATTCGAATTTTATTTAAATATACTATGCGATTATATAAATTTGGTTTGTAAAACTGCTGGTAAAAAAATGGTGCTCATTTATTTGCACAGTGAATTTATTAAAGCGTAACGAGTGTTCATAAGAACTGTTTAATTAACATTTATGTACAGCCATTCAGTTCAGTCCAAAAAACGTGATTTTTAATTTTGTGACATCAATATTTTCCCAAAAATTAATAATTTTGAATATTAATAGTTTATTGCGGCTATTAAGGGTTTACGAAAACAAAGATTTAAAAAATTATGAGAAAATAACTTTTTACTATACAAACTATTAAATACTTAATAATAAATCTGTACTAAATAATTTGATGCTAACTTTGTATTTAAAATCAGAGTTTTAAATACATTATTGGGAAACGTAGTATAAATAATTTAATAATCTTTAATCTTTAGGGCCAACGCGAAATATGCGAAATGTGTTGAGTATTTCATACTTGACATTTTGATGTATATGAAATTTTACACTGAGGAATATCGAAAACACTTTAGAAGCTTTTACTAAAACATCTGCAAATTCTTAAATGTCTAAATCTTTTAATTTCCAGGGAACAAGTCATAATTTCTAAATCTGCAAATTTCAAAATTGGGATCAAGAACATGTCTAAATCTGCAAATTTTCAAATTGTAAAATATCTGAATATTCAAATATAAAATTCTAGAAATTTGTAACATACTAAAGGGTCTCATTAAAATTTCCCAAATTCTTGAACTTGTAAATCAAGTTTAAAATTCTAAAAGTACATATTTTTACGTTTCGAAATTCAAAATTTTTAAATTTTCAAATTTTCAAACTTTAAAATGTTCAAATTTTTAAATCCTCCAATTCTCAAATTCTTAAATCGTAAAATTTTCAAATTTTGAAGTGTCCAAATGCTTAAATTTTAAAGTACCTCAATTTCCAAATACGAAAGTTTTAAATTCCAAAATTTTATAAAACACAAATTCACAAATTTCAAATCTCGAAATTCACAAATTTCTAAATATCCTCTAAACTTTTGAGTTTCCAAGTACGAAGATTTGTGGAGACTTGCGTCGCGCTTTGTATTATTCGCGCCATTTATGTTCTATTGTTTTGTATGAAATAGATATAATATTCGAGTTGGCAGCAGTGGGAGACAAAAGAATAAAAGTGGAGTCTGGATCGTGGCGTGGCGCGTGATGCGATGCACACGTGCATTTTGTAATCCGTAAAGATTGAAATTATATTACAAGTTAAATATATATTAATTAAAAAACCCAACAATACTGGTAGCGATTCCATCGATTTCACACACCAGAAAAGTTTAATGATTTAAAAGTGGATTTATATTTATTGTTAGATTAATAAAAATGTTTCAAAACTACCACTGCTACTTATTGTTGTCTGAATTTTACTAGGAATATTTAGAAGTTCAGAAATTTGTATTATAGAAGCACCAACTATCCTAATAAAACATAACATCTTTCTTTTACCTAATTATATTTTCTATAACACCGAGTAATTATCTACTAATTAATTCATGAGTGGTAATCAAAACATTAAGTTTCATGTTTCTTACGATAAATTACCTGATATTGAGCATTAATTTGAGAATCCTCTCTATTCATCCTGGGTACAACATTGCCTTTATCTCACCCGCAGCTTTTCCCCCTCTATTGCTTTTTTCTGTTTATCTTTTTATTCTTCATTTTCTCCTCTTTTCTTGCGTACATCCTTCGGCTTTTCTTCCTTGGCTAGTAGTTGAGTAATTATTGAGCTTGGTAGATCACTTAGGTGATTAAAGAAGGAAATGGATGAGCCGTTATTTTCCTTCTAACTACTATTGAAAAGAAAACCATACGGAGAGCGATAAATGTAATGGAACGAAACTTCAGAGCAGAAAACGTATTGTAATTAAATGAAAACATTAATTTGTCGTTCTTCCGATTTTCCCCATTTTGTTTCTTGCATAATTGGCTACAAATTAAAGAATAGAAAGGGACGACAATTAATAATTAAGGTAAAAGTACCAGTAGTTGACCATGTACCAGTAGTTGACCATTTTGTTTAAAAAATGATGAAATAAGGTTTGTATAAGTTGCGCACTTCAGATGATAGTGACTTTTAGATGCCACGACATTTGTTGTTTAAATTTTGGAACAATTGCGCGTGAAGTGAAGTGTGTCTATTAGCAGCGAATATCCGAGTACAATAAGGTAAGTAATGTGCCGATATATTTCTATTTCCTTAACGATTCTGTTAAGAATAGCTGTATAGTCCAGATAAAAAATTTATATGTTGCGAACATTTTGTGAATAAATCAGTTACTGTGTAAGCGCTTACAATGTTTTATCAATTTAATAAATACATTGTTTTTGTCGTTCTAACTTAAAAAAACAATAGTTTTTTAATGGTCAACTTTTGGGTATTGTTAATGTACAACTTTCAGAAGTTGACAGGCATGGAAGTGAATAGTGGCTACTTCACTATTTCACTATTTTACTATTTTACTATTTTACTACTTTACTATCATACTGCTATAGTGTTTTGCGATTTTCATATTTTACTATTTTATTATTTTGCATCTTTGCTCTTTTCCTATTTTCTTGTTTTCCATCTTTCCTCTTTTTCTCTTTTGTCATTTTGTTATTTTGCTATTTTACTAGTTGATTATGGAAGTGGCCAGAGAAGCCCGACGTGTTGGACTACAAATGGAATGCTGTAGTTTCTCATATTAATGAGCCCACCAAAGCAAGCAGAACTCGTAATGTTTATTCTGTTCCTGAGTTGAATGTTTTATTCAATTAATTTGGTTAATTTCGTCGTTTTATTGTTTAAATATGATTTGTACTGCTTATTGTTAAAATTAAACGATAATAAACTGATTTCCAGCATTAGTCTTTTAACCTTGCTTAAAGACTAGCAGTGACTAGAACTCACTTAGTTAAGTTTAGTGTTAAGTGTAGTACGTAAGGACAGAACATTGACAATGTCGCTCGGTGAATCGTCGATCGGGGGTGATGTACCCGCCGTCGATCGGGTCTCAGTGCGCATACCGGACTTTGCACCTGCCGATCCGGAACTGTGGTTCGGTATGGTGGAGCGCAGTTTCGATGCGAGTGGTATTAAGACCGAATCGACAAAATTCGGTTATGTTTTAGGGGCTCTCAGCCCGCAGTATGCAGCAGAGGTTCGGGACATTATTATGTCTCCGCCCCCTGAGCCGTACGAAAAATTGAAGTGCGAGCTCATTAAAAGGCTGAGTTCGTCTCAAGAACAGAAAACGCGCCGACTGCTGGAACACGAAGAAATCGGCGATAGAAAACCGTCGCAGTTCCTTCGCCACCTGCGAACTCTGGGAGGCGCCGCAGTGTCACAGGAAATCCTGCGGTCACTTTGGATGGGTCGCCTGCCATCCAGCATGCAGGTCATTTTGGCGACACAGCGGGACACTGACCTGGATCACGTAGCAGAATTAGCAGACGCAATCGCGGACACAATGGGTCCGCGCGGTCACATCGCCGAGACCTCCACGAGCGTGCCCGTTCAGCAGCCGTCGGCAGCGCAGGATTTAGAAGCGCTGTTAAACACGAAAATGGCACAGCTTACAGTGAGCTTCCGACAAGAAGTGGCGGCGATTCGCGACGAAGTGCGGGAGTTTTCGCGACGTGAGGCTACCCGTCGGGGCCCGTCGCCGTCACGCGCGCGTCAACGTTCGCGATCGCGATCCCGGCAACGTCGACTTGAACAGCGCGGTGGTAGGTGTTACTACCATTTCAAATTCAGCGCGAACGCGTATCGCTGTGAAATGCCATGCAATTGGACAATGTAGGGAAACGCGTCGGGCAGTCGTTAATGACGGCCAGCGATTCCTGCCCGTCGTCGCGCCGTCTGTTCGTGGTCGATCGGGTGACAAAAACGCAATTTTTGATCGACACAGGGGCCGATCTTTGTGTTTTTCCTCGATCGAAGTTACGGGGTTTCCGTGACAAGGCGTCATACGCGTTGTACGCCGCGAACGGCACAGAAATCGCCACGTACGGCACGGTTACGATTAATCTGGACTTGGGGTTGCGCCGTGATTTCGTGTGGAGATTCGTGGTGGCGGATGTGTCAAAGCCCATTATCGGTGTAGACTTTTTAGCGCACTTCGAGTTATTAGTGGACATACGGAATTGTCGGCTATTAGATCAGGTGACGACGTTAAAAGTGAATGGATGCTTAGCGCAAGAGTGCGGACCGTCGACACCGACCGTGAAGACAATTTTCGGGAGTTCGAAATACCACGACCTCCTACAACGGTACGTTGTATAAATAATTAATAATATTAATAATTTGTCTGAAATTTTCGAAACTAGCGAATAGATATTTAGTACATTATTTTGCCCTTTTTTATTTTATATTTGTTTACAATTTGTGGAAATGTATTTTCCGTAGAAACGAATGATCTAATAGTTTTTACCGACTTGAGTTTTTATCGAGAAGAAAGATACAATTCAAGCTCAAATTCGAGACTAGAAATTTAATTAAATTATTCTAATAAAGGAACACCGGTAATTGATATACGCCGATTTTGAAGACATTTTGCATAATTGATCACTAGACTTATCTAACAATAAGAACATAACCACAATTCGTTGGTACCCACTTTTTACTTTAAGGAAAAAATAAATCTTTCATCCTAGAAGAAAAGTAGAAGATATTAAAAAATTGTCGAAATAAAAATTATATCGTTTTCTTGGACCTAAAAATCCATTTAAAAAGTTAGTGCAAAAATAATTCTTTACAAATATCAAGTTGCCCCTCTCTCATTTTCTCAAATTTTAATTTGTTTTTATTATGAGTAAAAGGGTATAGTCAATATTCTTCATAAATTCAGCGTTGTATTACAATATATCATTACTTTAACTAATTTAATTAATTAAAAATTTATTTAAAAAATTAATTAATTTTAATTAGTTTCAACATTGACAATCTTTGTGATAAAACCTATTTCCATACGTTTCGTATCACACCTATATAACTGTAAGATTAATGGAAAGTATAGGGGAAGGAATTAAAGTATTATAATGTTTCATGCTAACGGTTGAAAACATTTTACTAGATATAATTATTGCAGTAAAAAAATTCTTTAAAAATTTGCATTAAACATAAATATTTTTGACTCGAAGCACAACGAAGTACAACCTAATTTTAGGCATACATCATACCAATGCATTTCGCTAGCATATTTTGTGAAATAAGTCCACGTTGAAGAGAATGGGGACAGAAATAATATTTTTTACATTGGTCCTATTTGTCAATCATCTTTTAAAGGTATGGAAATCAGAACTACATCATAGCAAGTATGTTTATTTCCTATAATTTGATACAAATTTTCAGTCACAAGTAGTCAAAGGACTATCACATGCTTTTTTGTAGTTCACTGTCATTGTTACTTTTGTTTTGACCCGTCCAAGAAATGTAAATTTAATCATTTTATACAAAATGAAGTAAAAATAATGTTTATATGCGCAATAAGACTTTTGTTTTAAGAAAAAAAAAAACAGCAAATATTTATGTAAACCTATTTTGAATAACGATGAAAGCAATATGTTTACATTTAAATAACGAAAAACAAAACGCAAAACTACTTTCAAGCATTTCTTTAGTAAGCAATTATGTATATGACATGTATAATATATCTCACTCGTGGTATAGTTTTTCTTTCGTTCGCATAATAACACGTTACTTTCGTCCTCAGCCGTGTTTTCCAAAACAAGAGTTTTATAATCTATAAACTATACATGATTTATTGAAATTAACTACAGGGACTTATAAAAATATTATTTAAAAACGTTATAAGTAGTAAATGGTTTAATATAAATAGCTCAATTCTGAATGTTAATAAGAAAATCGATATGGTAGAATGATTTGAATTACCAATTCAATGTAATTCATGTTATGACGCAGTGTCAAATAACGGAACAAAACAGGTATTTTGTAGGTACATGCAACTATGAAAAACAAATTGTCTTAAAATGTTTGTGGAAGTGGGAAAAAGGCGTGTTATTTTTATTATAATATGTTATTACTTTTGTCCCTATTCTCTATTATTTATAAACTTATTGAGCGACGATTTTTATTCTTGTTGGATAACAAATTTTTATCAGTAAAAGCACAGTTGCGAAAAACGTCAATGCACTTTTCTTTTGTTATCATTTTAATGAAATTCTGAAAAAAGTCTTTACTCAATTTTATATTACGGTACGTTACCTCTTTCAGCAATTTTATTCTGTCGGAACAGAGATTCGAATGTCTTGTTCAACCTAATGAGACAGTTAATTGAATGACTTCTTTCTTTGTCTTTTTTACTGAAATCAAAGATGTATATTAAATCACTATTTTTTCGCCTCATTTTAGAAAATTCCAGAAATTTTCTTTTTTATATCAGTAAATATTCTCTAGGAAATGTACATAGTACGATCAAATACAAATTTTTTAAAATGTAAATTATACATAGAATGTTCTGCTTTAATCAGTGTACATAGTTCTTTTGTAAAGTATTAATTATACCTCTATTTTTTATTTTATTAATTAATTATTAAGCATTCATTATTTTTGAAGAAGATGTTTGGTGTAAAAGTTAAACTATATGAGAAGAATTTATGTTTTTGAACTAAAATATTGACTAGGTGAATGTACTTTTTTACTCAATACTTTTTATGCAGAATATGTAGCAGCGCTGGTCTGTATAATAAGTGCATATGCAATTTCATTAAAAAAACAAGTGGATACAATTTCTTTTTAATTACTGTATATTTATCTTCACGTATAATTGTTTGAAACATTTTGCAAATGTTTGTAAAATACGTTTCGACAAATAAAACGTTTCAATTTTCAATCGAATATACGAGCTTGTATTGTACAGACTGTTGATTGTTTTGATGTTATTACTGATTTCTTTTTACACAGAATGTTTCGTGAAATTAGTTCACATAAAAGTAACAAATTATTTGGGAAATAATTATATAAATGTGGGATTCGGTAAAGGGGAATTAATTTTTGCGTGGTATGAGTGTATGTGATGTACGAGTGTGAAACAAAAGAGTGTGAATGCGTAGTATAAAAAAACGCGACAGCGTCGAAAGGACAGTCTAGTCTTGGCCGAACCGTAGAAATGTGAACTATCATCAATATATTAAATTTTGTATTCCTTTCAATTTATTAAAATATTTACTATAACTTTAATCCGTTTCTCATCTTCTTGCTCCCATTCTACATAAATAATTACAATAAAATACATCGTTAGACAGAACAAAACATTGTCATAAGCGCTATGGATCCTCAAACTTTATTTTCTCGAAAATTAAGCCGAAAATCAGCACATTTTGTTTCCTTTTCTTTTATTTTTCTGCAAACAATTTCGCGCTGTCCGTGTTACGTGCTGTAGTGCTGCCGAAGAGATTGCTCTCATGGCTGTGGTCTTATCGTTCACGGTAATGTCATACAAGAAAATGTTAAACAGGAGATAGAAAATATGAAGTAGGGAAGTTAAACGTCTTCCTTTACTCATGTTATCACTTCTGTCAATATTGCCGTGAAGCTTAACTTATACCAAGCTGTAGTGCTATGAACCACAAGGAGCATTTCATAGACAGACCTTTCTCCTACGTCTTATCTTTGATTTTCTGATTTGGTAAAAATTACCAGATATGTTTCGAATTCATTGGCAATTGTTTTTTAGTATCTCTTCACAGTATGTCCGCGATATCTACTATTGTATCTGCTAGTAATATATCTATTATTGACTCTAACTACTCTGAAAAATAAAAATCTTATATGCTTTTTAAAATAGAACTGACCTATCAAGGATACATCTACTGAATGTTTTCGAAATAAATAATTCAATCATGCTATTATACTTATTTATTCATTATACTTATTACTTATTTGTTCGTTGTCATTTGACAATATTTTTGCTGAACACTGAAATAAGTGATTTAATAAACTGCTGGATTCAGTTTTTGAATTTTATTCATTTTAACCCTTAACGAACGAGCGCATTTTTCTAAAACTATGACCAGTAGGTCGACGGATTTTTAAGAAATTAAGTGCTTCATTTCCAGAGCGAAAGAAGGTGCATAATTAATATCGCTTTATTGGATTTTATAAAAACTTACCGGAATAATAGGTAGTATATGAACAGATATGTCCATACAAAAGATCACTAAAATGCAAATTTCAGAAAAGTAATAGGAATTGAAATAAACAAATAGATGCGTGTATGTAATGTATAGATTTGTATACATTTATAAATTTATTTTTTATAGTTTAACGATATATTTACACAAAATTACTTATATTTTTTTTGCGTGTGGTACTTCTCCCAACAGTCCCCAATGTGAATACCAGGTTTTTTACTACAAGTATCGCAATAATTACGTGTTTCCCGCCTTCCTCCCGGCGTTATCACGTCATGCCGCGTGTATGGCGGCATTCGATTTTTTTAGAATATTTACAATGTCGCGAGTATGGCGGCATTCGTTCGTTAAGGGTTAAGTCATTGTTTCATTTTTGCTGCTGCAAAATGTCCTTTCCCATGAATTTGTTTAATTATCTGAGACTGCA